CACAATTGTGTAGACCATGAATATCAGGTACATTTTTAATATATTAAAAGTACATTATATTTGTATTGAAGGTACATTATTTTTGTACTGAAGGTATATTATATAAAATAATGTACCCTTCGTATATTAAAAATGTACTTTCAAAAAATGTACTTTACGTACACAAATAATGTACCCTTAGTATATTAAAAATGTACTTTTTATTTATGGTCCACACAATTGTGTGGACCATGGTCCATGCAATAATGATTGAAGAATCTACCTCCAGACCGGGACGCTGGCAGTATCATCTTCCACAGCTTCTCTGGCTTCATTATGAATATGGTTCAGATTGGTCATTTCTGGTGGTAGCGCAAGAGCAAGTCTTGCTAGCCGGTCCGCTACTATATTCTGTTCCCGAGCAACATGGGTTACTTGCCATTCTGGGAGGGAGCTCAAATCATAAATGCAAGCTGAAATCACATTATCCGTTGAGTTGAAGAAGCATTTCCCTCTCATTATTGCGCTGAGAACCTCTTTTGCGTCATGCTCAAAGATAACACACACATAATTTCGTTGCTTGGCCATTTGGATACCCTTGAGCAATGCCCAAGCCTCAGCTTCTTCCGACAGGTTCGTACTCAGACCATACGTAAAGCCCTGGAGCCAGTTTCCAGCCTCATCTCTCATTACTTCCCCTGCCCCAGCTCTATTGTTGAACTCAGAAAAAGCACCATCAGTATTTATCTTCACACACCCTTGGGGTGTTGGAAGATGGACAAAGAAGGAGAAGAAAGTACTGTTGTATTGAACTGTTATTTCTGTTACATTGCTTACAAGATGCACTTCTGACTATATGTATATGAGAGGGAAGCTTAAGCTGACTCCTAATGACAGAGAGGATTAACTAACTTTTTCTAACCACCTAACTAATTCTTGAGTTGACAGTGGTAGTTGTGGTGGTTTTGTCCTCCAATACCCCCCGCAAGCTGGAGTGTAAATAGAATGCAGTCCAAGCTTGGAGATGAACCTTTGAAATGTCAATGGTTGTAAGGGTTTGGTCAAAATATCAGCTGTCTGATTGTCTGTGGAGATGTGCAGCAGCCTGATAATGTTTTTTTTTTTGAATTTTCTCCCTTATGAGATGACAATTGATTACTGTAATTTGGGGCAAACAAATAATACCCGGAGTATTCGGGTTGTCGAACCACAGAGAGGTGGTGTACTAATCACTAGCTACTAGGTTACTCATATGAAACTAGTCCGAACAAAACTTGAAGGTTGATTGATTGCATAAAATAACAAGCAGAATAAAATAAGTAGCAAGGCTTTGTAGACAATAGAGCAAAATAGGATTCTTGGGATCACAATGTTTAATCACCTAGTGCCAATTAACGTTTGTAATATTTGGTTTGGAATTAAGATTTCTGTGGGAATGCAAAGTGGAATCGAATTACTCCCGTAATCTCTATTCCTAGTGAATTTCCACTCCCATGGCTTAAATACCCAATAAGATCAAAGATCAGCATTCAATTATTCCTAATTACTACCATCTCCCGATGAGCAATAATCTAGAATAAACTTCCCCTAATAAGTTCCCCTTTCCCAAGGACCAACCATTAGGTGCAATCGTGTGTGCCCTAATTTATGCCCCAACTCCCATTGGTGACACAAACATGACTGTGAAGCTAGTAATTTAGGCCTTTAACTACCAACAACAACAGATTAAAACAAGATTGCAACACAAATCATAAAACCAAACATAAATATATTAAGAAATTAACGAACTAGGCACATAGGTTCATAAACAAATTCACCCAAAAATCCCTAAGGAATTTAGCCGAGCATGGCTAAATTATACATAGCAAATGTGAATAAAGGATTACAAATCATCAGAAGAGTACAAGAATTAACCAAACGATTCTCCCAAATCTCCCTGGCTTCCTCCTTGCTTCCAAAGACGACTTGAGCCTCTTGATTTCTCTCTTTCTTGTTTACAAAGAACTCTAAAAATCTCTCGGTGTCTGCTTAGGGTTGAGGAAGGAGGGATTTTATAGTGGGTACAAAGTTGAGATGAAATAGGAATCTTGTACCAAATTGGACTCAAATTCTAATTCCTATATTTAAATAAAGAAATTGCCGTCTTTAATGATATTTAGAATTTGGAAGATTCCTTGAATTGCTAACTTTTAATATGGAGATATGAGCCTTGAAATCCGTGCAATTGATATTAGGAAAAGAAATCTCGCGCTTGTATTGAATTTTGCCTAGCTGCGCCACTTTAGGCGTCTGTTTTTATCTCAGAAATAGACGCCTATTCTCTCGACGCGTCGAGAATTTTCTCCACGCGTTGAGACTTCCTGTGCGCAAATTAGTTAGCTACTGGAAAATTTCGACGCGTCGAGTCCACTGGGCCCCGAACTCATCCAAAATTGCTCCAAACTCATCCTTGAACTTCCCTTGCTCATAGAATTGACCTACAATGGTTCAAAAATACTAACAAACACCGTAAAACATTCAAAACAAGTACGAACCATAATTAAATGATAATAGCAAGGAAAACCTGTATTAAATAAGCAAAATTAAAGAACTTAATTACTATGATGATTCAAAATAACCATAAAAACAAGCACAGATGTGATAACATCAACAATCAATTTCTATATGTTTCGTGCGTTCGTGGAATACTGGATTTTCAGCGATTGCTATGGCTGATTTGCTATCAGAGTACAACACAGCTGGCCCTTCCATTTTTACTTCCAAGGCTTCAAGCAGAAAAACCAACCACTGAATCTCACAAGCAGCAAGAGCCATAGCCCTGTATTCTGCCTCTGCTGATGATCTGGAAATTGTCCCTTGTTTCTTGGATTTCCAGGAGATTAAGGCCTCTCCTAGAAACATACAAAAGCCTGTCACAGATCTCCTAGTATCAACACATGCAGCCCAGTCAGAATCAGTAAATCCTCTTAACTTGAGATTGGATTGTGCTGGAAAGAACAGCCCTTGGCCTAGGGAACTCTTGACATATCTCAGCACTCTATGTGCTGCCTGGAGGTGTGTGGTGGTAGGCTTGTCCAGGAACTGTGATAGCTGCTGTACTGCAAAGTATATGTCAGGTCTGGTAATAGTTAGATACAGCAGTTTACCCACCAGTCTTCTATACTGTGTGTTGTCCTCCAAATGTTCACCATCATCTTTGCTTAACTTAGCAGTCTGCACCATGGGAGTCTTCATAGGTCTACTATCTAGGAAGCCTGCTTCTTTCAGTAGATCTAGGGCATATTTCCTCTGGTTAACAACAATCCCTTTGTGTGTTCTTCCAACCTCAAGGCCAAGGAAGAACCTTAGATTGCCTAAATCTTTGATCTGGAAGACAGAGTGAAGATGATCTTTGATCTGTTGAATCTGGTTCTTGTCACTGCTTGCTAATATCACATCATCAACATACACCAATAAAGCTATAAAAGAACCACCAGAACCCTTTGTGAACAAAGAGTTGTCACAGACAGCTTGTTTAAATCCCAAAGTGATCAGTTCATTTGTAAGTTTGGAGTTCCATTGCCTACTAGCTTGCTTTAAGCCATAAAGAGACTTGGTTAGCCTGCATACCTGCCCTGGGTACTGTGCCTCAAAGCCTGGTAGGAGCTGCATATAAACCTCCTCATAAAGATCACCATGGAGGAATGCATTGTTCACATCTAGTTGGTGTAGTTCCCAATCTTTTGCAGCTGCCACTTCCAGTAGGGTCCTTATAGATGTGATCTTGGCCACTGGACTGAAGGTGTCTATGTAATCCAGTCCACAAGTTTGGGTGTAACCTTTGGCCACCAGTCTTGCTTTACACCTCTCAATAGTTCCATTTGACTTATGCTTAACCTTGTATACCCACTTGCATCCAATGGCTTTCTTGGAAGGTGGGAGAGTGGTGAGTTCCCAAGTTCTGTTAGTTTGAAGGGCATTTATTTCTGTCAGCATAGCTGATTTCCAACACTCATGGAGAATGGCCTCATTGTATGACTTGGGTTCTACTATGTCTAGAACATTGAGAGCAAAAGCCTTGAACTTAGGTGAAAGTTTATCATAGGACAATACAGTAGACATAGAGTGAGGGGATGTCCTTGTGTTGGGCAGTTGGCAATCATAATCTTGGAGATATGCTGGTCTAGACACATGTCTTCTGGACCTTCTGGCCTGTTGCTGGTGTTCCTCAGCTTGATTCTCATTCAAGGTTATTTCCTCATGGTTTACTAAAGTTGCATCAGAACTGTGAGTTGAGTCAGCTGGACTGCCCTGTACAGTGGGATCAGACCTTGGAACCTGATCTGGTAACTGATCTTCAATTGAGTGTATTCCCACAGGCAGGATAAGGGATGGTGTGAATGCTTGAGTATCTGGGCTATGCTGCAATTTGTGAGGAAAAATTTTCTCATAGCACACCACATCTCTAGAGATAAATACTTCTCTAGTTTGCATGTCATATAGCTTGTACCCTTTTGTCCCATTAGGATATCCTTGGAACAAACATCTTCTAGCCCTTGGAGCAAATTTGGGTTTATATCCACTGAGGTTAGCAGCATAAGCCAAACAACCAAATGTCTTAAGGTGGCTGAATTGGGGAGGGTTTCCAAATAAGATCTGATGTGGTATTTTTCCTTCCAAGGCATTTGAAGGTAGTCTATTAATGATGTAGACTGCTTGTAGGATGCAATCTCCCCAAAAACAATCTGCTAAACCTGCTTGAAGTTTCAGGGCCCTTGCAACACTGAGTATATGACCATGTTTCCTTTCCACCACACTATTTTGCTGTGGAGTGTACACACATGAGGTTTGATGAATAATCCCTTTTTCTTGGAAAAATTTTTCCATTTTGAATTCTTGTCCAATATCTGTCCTGATGCACTTAACATTCCTCCCAAATTGTGTAAGAACCAGAGCACAGAAGTTCTGAATCAGAGTCCTAACCTCATGTTTGCCTCTCATCAGAAATACCCAGGTTAGTCTGCTGAAATCATCTACAAGGGTCAAGAAGTATTGGTGACCATATATTGTGTGTACATGGTATGGCCCCCAAATGTCAGCATGAACAAGGTCAAAGCAATTAGCAGAAACAGTAGAGCTAACAGGGAATGGAAGTCTTTTTTGTTTAGCCAAATGGATACATCACAAGCTGATTCTTTATTGAACTTTATATCAGAATCCAACAACTGCAACATTTTCATCTTTGAAAAGGATGTATGTCCTAATCTAGCATGCCACAAACTACTAATATTACAGGCATTTATTTCAACATTTTGCAATTTGTCAAATGAACCAAAAAATGCAGGCTGCAATAGATGATATAGACTCTTTTCCAATTTAGCCACTCCAATCGTCCTCCCAAGGACTTGATCCTGTATTAGGCATGTGTCAGAATACATAAGCAATTTGCAATTGGAATTCTTGATTAATTCACTGACTGAAACCAGGTTATAATGGAAGTCAGGTACACAAAAGACATTCTTCAGAACCAGTTCTTCTGACACAGTAATAGTTCCTATGTGTGTGATGGCAGTCTTGTTGCCATTAGGAAGTTCAACACACATGCCTTGGACTTCTTTGACTCTTGTCAACATATGGTGGCTACAAACAATGTGGTGGGTAGCCCCACTATCCAAGATCCAAGGAATTTTGTTATGACTAGAAGAAGGAAGAGATGTACCTTCAAACTGAGCATTAGGCACAGAGTTTGCAGAGATGAAATTAGCTTGTGGCATGGTTTCTGTAGTCAGAGGTAAACTCTGAGTAGCAGCTTCCTTCTGTATTAGTTGCTTGAACATCATGTACTCATTTTGTGATAATGAGATAGTGTCTTCTGAAGGAATCTGAGCAGCTACTTGAATCTGATTGGCTGCCCCTACACTTCTATTTCTTGGTTTCCATCCGGATGGATACCCGTGTTTTTTATAACATTTATCAGCTGTATGCCCAGTGAATCCACAGTCTGTGCAGATGGGTTTCTTGCTCCCATTAGGATAAACTTTCCTGGAACCTGAGTTGTTGCTTGCAGTTTGGCTCAAGAACACATTCCCTGCATTCAGGTTGTCTGCTGGTTGAGGCAAGAAGCCTGCTATTCCACTATTAAATCTTCTCTCCTGCTGTTGAACTATCAAGAACGCTTCATCAACAGAGGGCAAAGGTTTCATCATCATAATTTGTGATTGTGCAGACGTATAACTGTCGTTGAGCCCTCTCAGGAAGATGGAGAGGTTGTCACTGTCGAGGTGAGATTGTAGTTTATCCAACAAGCCACAATCACATCTTCGTGCACAATTACAAATAGGTAAGGGCCTTATAACTTGTAATTCGTCCCATAGGACTTTCAATTTTGCAAAATACGCTCCTATGCTAAGATCACCTTGCCGGATTTGGTGGATTTCAGCATGCAAATCTGAGATACGAAATATATCTGCCTCGCTAAATCTGGACTTCAATGTTTTCCAGATTCTCTCCGCAGTTCCTATCCAAAGAACGGTTTGAGCGATTTCAGATGAAAGCGATCGCATTATCCAAGTTGACACCATATTGTTGCATCTCTTCCAATAAGGAAATTTGACATCATTGCTGTCTGGTATTGCTATGGTTCCATCTACGAACCCTAGCTTGTTCTTTGAGAGAAGAGCCATCTCCATCGCCATTGCCCAAGGGTGATAGTTCCGTCCGTCCAGAAGAGCTGAGACGAGAATCAGAGAGGGGTTCTCGTTTGGGTGCAAAAAGAACGGACTGGCTGCGTCGTTTGGATCGAACGGTGTGTTTGCCGGAGCCGTCGCCGGAATTGGGACCGTCGGAATCGTGGTTTTTGGATGAGACCCCTGAGATCTGTTTGTGTTCATTCCTCCTGTCCAAGCCATGATCCTTCAATGCTCTGATACCATATCATGAATTGGAAGATGGACAAAGAAGGAGAAGAAAGTACTGTTGTACTGAACTGTTATTTCTGTTACATTGCTTACAAGATGCACTTCTGACTATATGTATATGAGAGGGAAGCTTAAGCTGACTCCTAATGACAGAGAGGATTAACTAACTTTTTCTAACCACCTAACTAATTCTTGAGTTGACAGTGGTAGTTGTGGTGGATTTGTCCTCCAATAGTTTTTCCCAGCGTACCAGCTTCCAAGTTGAATCCATGCATTATCTTCACTTTGTTGATGTCCACAAGCTGCTTTTTAATCCAGTCAAGTTTGAACACCAACAACCTCCTTTGATTGTTGAATATTGCCTAATTCCTCCACTTCCAAAGCCACCATAACGTGATGGAAAATGATGTGCTTAAGTCCGGGTGACAGGAACCTCTACACAATCCCATAATTCCTTTATCCAACCATTGGTTGAAAGAGCCTGAGAAATCAATAGGATGGTTAAGTGATAATGCCAACCTGACCTCCTTTGCCTTTGGGCAGTCTCTAAGAATGTGGTTGGTATCCTCCATATCGTGGCTGCATTCCATACAACGTGGCTTCGTAGAAAATACTCTTTTCATTCTATTTTGGTTAGACATTACTCTATCATGTCTTGCTAGCCAAAGAAATAAACAAAACATGTTGGGAACTTTAAGTTTCCAAATATTGGTTGAAGGGGCCGTGTTTAACTCAGCAGCAATCTCATAGGCTTCTTTAACTGAAAACTTGGAAACAACACCTTTTCCCCAACCTAGACCTGTTAGATATACAATAGTCTAACTATATGAACCTTAACATTAAATTAAAATTCAAACAGCAAATTAAAACTTAATATTTGCCTCAAATTGAATAATAATTTAATAATAACTGAAAGATGAATTAATTTGATCAATTAGCTAGAAAAAGTCTAAATATGATGATGGAGAAGCTGAAACAGGCCCCAAATAAACCACATAGGCCCAAATATTTTTTTATTTTTTCTTTTAAAAAAAATTGGACCAGGTCTGCCCAAAATGGGCCTGACCCGGCCCATGTTTTTATTTCCATCATCATCTTCTTCCTTTAAGCAAAGCAACAAAAAACCCTAGCAGCCATGCCGGACGTCCGAAGCAACGAGGTAGAATGGCAGCCATCCGGAAGCGGTGCTGCCTGGAGGAGGAGGAGGGTGACAGCGACGACGCCGGGAATCCAACTCTGCCACCGCCATCTCGCCTCTTCGCAGCGCCAACATCCACCGCCGTCCTCACCGCGACGTCGATCCCCAAAGCTCGCCGTAGTCCATGCATGCTTGAAGAGCAGCGATAGCCCGTCACCGGCGTCGCCTGAAGGAGAAGACGAAGCGTGACATCGCCGGGAACCCAGCTTCACCGCGCCGTTTTCTCACTGCGACGCCGCCCAAAATCGTGTACACCACTTCTTCACCGGCCACCGTCGTCCACGCACCCTTGGCTCAATGGTGTCGAGTCAACGGCAGTCGAATGGTGACGAAAAAACGAACGGAAAAACGCACCCATAGCCGTCGATTCGCCAGTAGCAGTGGCCGGCCAAAATTGGGAGAAAAAACTGAAGCTCCTTTGTTATTACTGTTGCTTCACCTCCAAACGAAAACAGTATGCAAACAATTCCAGGCATATATTTTAAAAAATTAAAATCGCCCTTAATGTTAAAATTAAATCAATGATTCAAAATCAACTAAAATTAATTTTTGGCAGTCTTAAACCAATTACGAATAATACATTCAAAATATACATAATATTCTGCTTAATTATATCAAAAAGATATATTTTCTATGCATATTTTGATGAATTAAAATGAACGTAATTGAAAACCAAAGTATATACAAAACTTAATGTATATGAAACAAATTAATGTTGATCATAGGCAATACAATCAACTAGGCAGAGATTTATAAAGGCTCTTGATACCAAATGTTAGATATACAATAGTCTAACTATATGAACCATAGTATACGAGAAACCTGACCTCGTATGATAGCGGAAGCGTAGCCCCATAGATCTCCAGCCATAGATGATGTTCCTGTTGTGTTGCCTCTCAACGGTAGACCGTTGGCCATGTTTTGCCTCAGACCTGACTCAGAACCCTAGATGGTGTATTGGTGTCTACTGAGCGGTCTGAGTACCGTAACTGAATGTGCTAACAACAACCATCCTGTATCCCATCAATCCAGGATTATATTAGGCACAGAGTTTGGTTGACTAACAACTACTAGTTATTAAGTCCAACCACACCACTTAATAAGCCTAGTCAACTTGCACCACTTAATTAAGGCCCTAATATATAATATACAATATATATTATAAGGGAAAATCTTACAAGACCATCCTCAACATTGGGTCCATGACAAGTGTCAAAGACACACACTTTTAAGGTCCATTTAGGGTGAATTCGTGGCTAAAAGCAATCCTTTGTGTAACAGTATTGTGCCAATTAGTTATGTTTTGCATTTTAATGTAAATTACCACCACACTTTGTGTTTTATATGTTTTTAGGTAAGCTTTGGCCTTAAACGAGGCAAAGTGGCACAACCCGGAGAAAAACGGGATAAGAAGACAAGCCGAGACCAAGCCACAAAGGCCACAACACGCGTTGCAGCGTGCGTTGTGGAGAGGCAAAAACAGAGCTGATTTCCAGAAAGTTCAACGCGCATCACAACGTGCGTTGTCTGGGGCGTTGAAGGCTGCGTGAAAGAGCTGCGGAAGGGATTGAAAGGGGACTCTATTTAAGAAGTTTTAGATAAGATTTAGAGGAGACTTTTCGTAGATTTTGATATACTTTGAGAGCTTAGCATTTTCAGATTGGAGAGAGAACAATTTGTAGAGAGATTTTAATAGATTCAAGCTTACATTCTTAGGAGATTCATTGAAGAAAGAGATTGGAAAACTCCAATTCAAGAGATCTTGCAAGACTTCTTCTTATTTACTAATCTACTTGTTTGGTACTATCTCTACTCTTTTCATTTCTATTTGCATGGTTGGATTTAGATTTATGAAAGCTTTTATGATTTCTATGGCTATTGTAGGCTAGCTTAGCTAGGGTTTGAATTGTGAAAGTGTGTGAAGATGATGCTTTTGTGACTTAGTTATTGAATTAGGGATTGATTGATTGCAATGCTTCTATGTCTTGTTGTTGGGGATTGATTTGTTTGCATCAAAGGAACTTGATCACCTCTTATGGTTGTTTGAGGGATTGGCCTATGCTAAGTCAATCCAAGCTCCCACCCTTGGCATTTCCCAGCTCAAGGAACCCTACGGGACTTGGTTAGGAAGGAGTTGTAGGCAAGGTATTTGTGGAAAGGTTTAGGTGAGACCTAGACAAGTCCTAGTAGTCTAAGTTACGAAAGGACACAAGCCACACCCTAGACTTAGAATTTGCATCCTCTTTCCCTATGTCTAATGATTCTATAAGCATCTTAGTCCAGACTAAGCAATTCAACCCTATCTAACTTTCATTTGATTACCACTTGTTAGCATCTGTTTTACTAGTTCACTACGACGTTTATCTTTTGTGTGCGCGTGACATGCAGTCAAACAATACTGATGTCTTTATTTTCTGAAATTAGCAACTTAGGGGTAACTCCGAGCGGCCATCCCTTGAGAACGACATAACCCGGGATTCATCCCAATACAATCAACTCTTACGCTATACCTAGCAAGAGTGAAGAATAGAACCTTATCAAAATGGCGCTGTTGGCAGGGATGACGTTAGGTTTTAACCATTTGTTGCTAGTTAGGAATTTGACTTCGTTTATTGTTTGAACGTTTGTTGCTTTTCTTTTTAATTGTGTTTCATTTTATTGTTGCTTGTTCTAACCCTCATCAACCACTTTTAGTTGTGAGGAGAAATCTTGTTGACTTGTTTTTCTAGGATTGAATGCAAACAAGATCAATAGAGAACATAGGACTTTTGGCCTTTGAACCTGAAATCAATAAGGCAATCCGAAGGAGGACAACATGAGAACAATTTCAAGTGGCCATAATGAAACTCAAGGAACGGCGCAAGGAAGAGAATCTACTATGCATACACCACCATTAAACCATCAAGAGGGAAATTCACAATGAGGAACGCCAATGCATGCAAATCCACCACCTCAAGGGCAAGAAGCAAATGCGGGGCAAGACCCATTGGAACACGTTGGGAATGATGATTACTATGAAGTACCTCAAGAGGGGAGAGGAAGATCAATTGCAAAGTATATGACGCCCGAATTTTCAATGCATAACTCGATTTGTGTCCCACCTCTTGAGAATGTCAACTTTCAAATCCATCCCGCGGTTCTAAGTCTAGTAGTATGTAAAGGCATAATAGCAGTGCAACACTGTTAATTACAAAAGTAGAAATGGCAGTGCAAAACTGTTAAGGAACAATGACAATATGGCTAACTGTTAAGGCACAATGGCAATATGAATTCCAAGAAATGGTCATCTTAACATTGAACTTTAAAACTAGATATTGGTCAAATTTGCATTCATAGCCATCAACTGTTCATAACAAGTAGTCATAAGCCTATCTCTGGTAATTACAAACAAAAATCTTGAAATTCAAGTGTTTTAGCTTGCAAAAGAACAAGTGTTTTTCCATCACTACAACCATCCAAAATACCAAAAACAAACAGTCACATTGGAGTTAGTCAATATTGAAGGGAGCAGCAGCAGAAGTTGGTGGGAATTTAGACTTCAATGCTTGGCTAGCAGCACGGGTTGGATATTTCCTACCCCTGACAGCAACATGCTTTGCTTTCCGAGTTGGAGTTCTCCATTGTTGAGCATTGTGATCATCTCACTGAGGTTGAGAATTGTCATCATCCCCATCTATAGGTGGCTGAGTAGAGGGGGTGTGTAGTTCAATTTCTTCATGTTCTTGGTGCTGTTGTACACTGCCTTCACTACGTCCTATCATATCTGTACCTATAATGGCATTGCAAACTAGAT